TCTTGGTCTTGCAAACTGCACTGTAGAGAAGCACTCACTAGCATCAAAGAAACGCAGAATCAGAATGACAGGCTTATGAGGAGAAGAAAAGCAAAGCACAGGCACTTTGTGCACTCTCCCCCCTGCACTGAGGAGAAAGGTAATAACCTTCTCCTAAGTCTGCAGCTCACAACACACATGCAAAAAGAAGCGATCCTGTACAATATGAATGCTCAGTGCAGCAGGAACTGTCAAAGAGCACAGAAGGCACAACTTATCCCAAGGACATTACCACCTTGCGTGACATAAGCTTACGGAATTATCACACCGTATCAAATTCTTCAAAACCAAGGAAAAATCTCCTTTAATTATTTTACTCCCATCCTTCAGCTTGTCATTGCTGTGTATTTCCTTTGTTCCTACACTTCACAAGTGTTTTTGATTTTGAAAGGTTTTTTTTTCTTTAATAAAGGTTTTTCAGGATCTCTAAATTGGGATGAGACAGTTTTAAGGAATTATTATATAAAAGCATGTAACTTATGAATTCTCCCAAAAGACATGGGTTGTAATCCCTTTGACACTACTTTCCGCACTAATGCATCAAAAGCTGGTGTTCAGTTTCTACTGATTTCCTTTCCTGGCTGAGAGCACACGTTTGCTTAAGCTTGCAGCATCTCAGAACTCTTTTTGTTACTTATGGACATTCTAGAATTGAAAATCCTGCAGGACAATTAAACTTCAAAAATGACTTTTTTCAATTCCAAACGAAGACAAAATATCTTGTTATAAAACCAACGAGCACTCAGTGGGGACAAGGCAAGCTGGATGACCAGTCAGGACGGAGAGCTTTTCTTTTCTAAACTGTTCTAATTTGAACAGCCAGCTCTTTGTTTTGCCACACAGTTGAAGCCAACTGCACATTCAGGGATGTAAGGGCTCTAGTGCTGGCTGCAGGGATGAGTAGCAGGCGCAGGTTTCATCCCCAGTTCTGCCAGTATTTTGCAGTCTTGACTTACTGTTTCAGAGCTTGCCCTCTTCCAAGCAGCTTGACAGTTCTACCAGACCGTGCCAAAGATGCGACAAGCACACAAGATGCAACTCAAACCAGTTAACAAAATGCTTCTGAAAACATCAGCACTTCATTCCTACAGTCAGTTTGTTACTTTGCCTTATCTTCAGTGAGCACTGGTTGGATATTTTATTTTCAATTAGAATTGAAAAGAACCATTCATAGTTAGTTTAAAAAAAAAAAAAAAACTTTAAAATGCAACTTATCAGCACTGGTTTTCCCGTAACATGTATTATTTGTACTGAAAGGCTATAAAATTGTTCAGAATTCCAGAACAAGCTTTAACAGGCTATGGTATAACCGCTGAAATTTTGAGTTTCAAAAACTTTCTACTTTAATCTCCTTCAGTAGTAAATTGACTGAATCAAAAACTATCTAACAGGGTAGACAGCAATTTCCAAGAGTTCTGCCTTATCAAAGACCATCAAGCTCCTTGCACACCAGACTTGTGCGGATCCTAATTGAATAAAGGAAAATGTGGAGACGAATCAAGGATAATGTCTCACCAGACATAAAAAGACTTTGCAGGTGTATCTGTAGGGTGATGGAACCTGCAGCACGCGGAGCGCCGGGGTGACTGCGCGCGGCATCGCGCAGGCCGCATCGCCTCAGCTGCAGACGCAGCGCGACCACAACGGCCCGTGCTCTGAGCAGCCTCCTAAGCACTGCGTTTGTTGGTGTGAGTGAAAGGACTTTCCCAAGCATTTTGCCTACTTAACTGTCCTCGAGAGAGGACCAAACTGCCCCTGCACTTCCTTACTTAGTGCAAGGACAGATTAAGCCAGAGCTGTCCTCACCTGGAACACTTTTTTGGGTAGTTTCCACCTTTAGTGTCAACACAGGCGATCAGCTACGGACCTCACAAGTTTAACAGCCCTCAGCTCCCAAACACACAGTCCTGTCCCCTCTCTGGTGCCAGCCCTAGGTGAAGAGCTGACAACAGATGCTAGTCATCTAAAGTCAAAGTAATTTCTCCTTTCCTCTCCCCCTGCTGAAAAACATTTCTTTCCCAAGCAGCTCAGCTCCCAGTGCTGAAGCCAGGAATACTGCAAGGACCCAAGGCCGAGGACAGAGGGAGGGACAGAAATCAAAGTCACCTAAACATGAATTATCTTTGGCTCACATAGAAACTAGCTCTCAACTTTGCATGCAAATAGTAGCTCTTAGGACACATTTCCACGAGTTGCTAAAAAGGATCTTTTGTGTCACTTGAAACATCAGACTTAGCTGGTCTAAAGAGATGCCCTGGGGTGAACTTCACACTTTTCTTTTTTCCTCCCCTGGAGTCATTCATCTTACCAGAAACAAGTTCCTACAAAACGTCCTAATCTTCATCTCTTTGAAAAATACGTATTTTTAAACAGAGATTAGTAACAAGAAATTAATCATCATATAAAAGAAAAAAAAATGGATTTGACTCATTTAGCACATTTAGAAACTGTTTTAATATCAAAGTTATTTCCTCAATCTAGAGTCAGAAACTGATAAAAAAAGAACATACTGACCACAGCATATTACTTATGTTCTTTTTAAGCAGACCCTAAAGTCTGCACTGACTTGGGAACTCCAGCACTTCCATGCCAGTATGCTATTGCTAAAAATCAGCAAGCGAATGCTGCCTACAATATGGCAATAAGTTATTTTTAGAAGTAATATGCATAAGATATATCATACTATGAGAAAATAACATAACTCTTCAACATGTGCTTCACACGTGGGACTGGACTTGACTTACTGCAACAGAGCCAGAATCCGTCTTGAAACGTATCTCTGGTGAGGGTAGGCAGGAGGTGATTAAGAATCACTTCCAACACAGCAGTAGTTATAAACACACTACCAGGTGGCATCATTACTGTTTACTCTTTAGTATTAGTGAGCTAGCGTACATGTGTGAGGGGGCAAACTGTACGTATCTATATAGATTTATCTAGTTATTTACTACTTAGGTGTAGTTACCTACTAATTTACTACTCACAGGAAATTGCTAGTCATCTCACACGGGCTACTGCACTGCAGTGAGTGCAGTAAAGCTGGCACACAAAGATCCTGGCCTTCGGTCCCACTCTACTTGTTACGTGAATAGAAAAATAAAATAAATACCCTTGCTGCCTCAGGCACCTAGGGAGATCAGTGTTCCTGTACTGCTTTACCCTAACATGGGAACTCAGTTCAAGACAGAGGTAAACGTGGAGATTGCGCTTGCTGTACTCTCATTTCCTAGGAAAGGAGGAATGTTCTGGAAGTTGGCAGCTCCTAAGTGTCTTAGGGTTCTGTTTTGATGAAAACATTCAGAAAATCAATCCAGATTCCGGAATTCCAGTTTGTGTTTTACTACCTTGCACTTCTTCCAGCCTTGACTACTCAAATTAATCTCTAGGTGTAATTCTAAAAATTAACAAAACTTCTTTCAGGAACCATAGCCAGCCACCTGAGCACATCACATATGTAGGTGAAGAGTAGCAGTGACTAGAAATATAACCCAAGTAACACAATAATCAGATACTATTCTGTAAAGTTATGAAACAGTCTTCTTGATAATTTTAAGAGTTCTAGATACCAATTCTAAACAAATTCAGACTGAAATGGCCAAATCCAAAACTGACTATGATTTAAAAACCTGTGGAGAAAGTAAAATTAGATAGAATCATAGAATGCTTAGATGAAGTCACCTGAAACATTTTCCTTACACAATTATGAAATGCTGCATTTTCACTTCAAGTTCCTCAATTTTTTAAACATTACTATAAATTCAAGTCCTACAAGGATAATAATTTTGAATCAAAACACTTTTTCACGGTGTGCTACTCTACCCTTTTAACAATTAGGTATATAAAAAATAATAGGAAATCTGTTAAGCAAACCCTTTACAAGAAAAGCGGCATTTTTCCAGTGAATTTCAGTGAAAAAGAGCATTTTTGAGCAGTCTTTTTTCCTATTTTACAGAATATACTTTAAATCACTCTTGTGTTTTAGCTCAAATTCAAAAGAGCTCATCTAATATAGTTCCTCTGGGGAAAATAAGAAAAAATGTGGGAAAAATATATATATATTCTAGAGAAAGGATCTTTGGGATTACAAGTAATACATATATTACCTTGAGCTTCTCTTCGACTGTTACGTTATACAACTTATACAAAGATTCAGGATGAACTAGAACAGCTTTTCTATCTATACTGAAATTGCACAAGTACTAAACACAAAGATGTTTGTGAAACATATTAAAGAACAATATACTTGGTTGGTCAGTTAACAAAATGGCTCCTCTCAATATTTTCTTTTTTTTTCTTTTTCTTTTTTTTTAAGGTTTTTAAACATACAACTTGTATGTTTAAAAGCAAAATTACCAATATTGTCTTCTGAAATATTATCCCAAGTATTTACAGCCATTACAACAGCAATGGATGGCTCTGAATACAGATTTTAAAATTGTGAAATAAAGGATCTTTGTAAATCAAATATTGACACAATGCAGAAAACTGAGATACTTGAATTTGGTAGTTTTTATAACTTAACAATGGTACAACTTGAGAATGGTTTCAAGACTGGTGTCAAAATGCAGCGCCCCTCTAATTTTATACCTCACTTCCAAGAAGAGTGCTTCATTTTAATGCTACAGATTCTGATCATATGACATAAAATAGCAGCAAAGAAAAAAAAATCCTTTCTCTGAAGATAATATTCTGCCTTTTTATTGTCATGACTAGAGACCAACTCCAGCTTGCACATTAAAAGCTAAACAAAAAAAAGCTTTACACCTATTTATCCCTTTTGACATGCTCATGGCACCTGCCTTAAGAAGCTGGTTATGTGAATTTCTAAATGAGGCTGCTCAGACTCTCCTTATTAAAAAAAAAAGTTTATTTTACACCGAAACAATCTATGATGTTCATAAAGAATTAATACACATTAATAGACAAGGAGAGAGAACTGCAAATAAGAGAAAAATACAAACCTCTGATTGTACATGCCCCGAAAATTATAATTTGCTCTATAATTAGGGATTGGCTTTGGATCTAATGGCCTGTAGATGGCAGGCTCTCCTCTTTTCATAGCCAGACCATTCAGCTCCACTGTTGGAGTTATACTGCCTGGAAAAAAATAAGAATATAGGTACGACACTTCAAATATAAATCCTGCAAAACATATACATAGTATTACTAAAGAAAACCGTAGCAAACTTGCATGATCTTTTTTGCTTTCTCACTACTATGTTGTTTTCCTATGAGAATATAGATGCCAACTTAATCACAAACAATAAAAAAGAGCATTTAAATAGTCATCTTAGTGTACTCCCTTTGCAATTTCTGTAAATTACTGTTCATAGATGAAAGACTCCACACTATAAGTGAACGCGTTATTCTTTTTTTCCAGAGTATCTGGAACATAAGGTTATACTTTCTGAAACTGTTTAAGAGTGTATTATATTATCCCACAGAATACCATTAAGTAAAAACACAAATAAAGCAAATATGTACTGAAATAAGACTTGAAAAATTATCATTGTGACTAAAACCTAATGAACTGGCATGATCTAACAAACTACAAGTGTAACTGCTGGAAATCAGTGCAACTACAGCCACCTACTGGGGACAGAATGCAGAACGGAAAAACCATCCCACTTCTGCCTGTTGACATGGTCTCCAAAATGCCAAGCCTGAAGCTACATTACAGCTTCATCTTAAGCCCTTAACAAATAAATAAAAGGTTTATATTTCTTTAATATACCACATTTATATTTTCATTAAAAAATGTTCAACTATGGTATTCTCCCTTCTGCTGCTGTGAAAAAACTCCCAAGTGAGTTAAATGCATAAATGCATTCCAGTGAAAGTAGTTCAACTGACTCAAACTATTTCAGAATTTTCAAAGAATCTAGTCTTAAAAGGGCTATCACGAACGCAGCAGTCTGCCACTAAGTCTTCATATATGCCAGATGATGAAAGTTTTATATTCAGGTGAAAACATTCAGTAAGTACAGCTTTGATATGTCCCTGAGGGGGGGGAAAAAAAAAAAAAAAGATAAAAAAGACTTTGAATTCAACAATAAAAATGAAAATGGCGTTTGATTACAAGATACTTGAGCATGTGCAAAAAAACCCAATCCTAAAGCGAATTATAGTGTTTTGTGATACATTTTTAATTGAATACTCAAAGGTGATTTATTTTGTTATTTGCTTTTCTCTTTTAAAAAATGGCAAGAACAGACACTTGGGAGTATGCTGCAATGCCAAGAGTCAAACATGGGATCCTTCTTCTACAAGGAAGGGACCCTGCAGGGCTGCAGCAGCAATGACCTGCATGGCAAGAGAAGGACAGACTGCCATTCCCAGCCACCTCCTGACGGCCAATGCCCAGATAATGCGGATATGCTGCTCTGGAGGAAAGCTTGCCCAGCTCTTTGGCAACATGCAGTTAAACTGCAAAAAGAATCCTCTCTCAGGAAGTGCCTGAAAAACTTTAAGGAAGGGGGCAGGGGGAGGCAGAGAGGGAAAAAGTGGGGAAAAAAGGAAAAGGATGAAATTTGCTTTTTTCTCCTCATTGGCCTGGCTTTTTTTTTTTTTAATATATGTGTAAAATAAAATTAGGAATAAAAAAAATTCTTTAATTCATCAAGCAAAACAGAAAAATCACCGAGTGCAAGACTGACTTGTGTACCTCAAAAGGTGCTGCATGCAGAGAAGGCAACTCAAAGGAAGATGCCAAACTCCAACATGCTCTTTCGGTTGTTCAAATAATAAAGATTCCAAAGCTGTTTCCTGGTTTATTTTATGTTACTATGAAGTAAAATCCATTATACAAGGACTATCTGTTACAGTTCTCACACCAGATCTTTTTATTTATACCACAGATGTAATTTTTACAGGAGTGGACTAGGTAAAATTTGGCCCTTTCACTAAAATCGGCTAAAATCACTTGGAAAAAAATCAGTATTTTACTATGGCTATTTCAATCTCATTTTGTCTCACTGTCTACTTTTAATCACAGATAATCAAGTCTTAGGTAAATAATCACATTCACTTATGGTTCAACTGTTTCAGGTATGTTGCATCAAAACTTACACTGCAAACTCACATTAGGTTCTTATGTTCTCACACCTGGAAGACAGTTGTAAAACTTACACTGCAAACTCACGTTAGGTTATGTTCTCACACCTGGAAGACAGTTGTATTGATTCTCACCTGCCATATTTACCTGTATCTAGTTAGGAATATCTGTTAGTGGACTAATATTCCAACACTGCAACAAGAGTTATTACGCACAGGAAAATGTCATACCTGGATTATTATTAACATTATTTTTGGGTGGTCTAGGAGTTGGTTTGGGAAGGGTGGTTTCATTCAGTGCTTTGCTAGCAGCAGCGTGTTGGGCCTTTTTAATACTGCTTCCTTCAGCCTCCCATGTCTGCTCTCCAAGAGTCAGCTGCACTGTGAACATCTTCAAAGACAAAGAACAGGTAAAAACTGGCAAGATTATCATTGTTAGACCAACCTAGGTAAAAACTTATGTTCCTGAAGAGAAACTCTCCCTTTTCATTATACTCAGCTCAACTCTCAGATTGAACATTTGATTCTCACACAGTCGATTCTTACAGAGATTAGAGAGTCCTTATCAGTGGGCAACATATGGCCCTTTAAATGACAAAAGTCAAACAGCATGATATGACATCCCCTGTCAAAGAAGGCAGTCCTATTCCAATCAAGTGCAAACTGGTCCCTTGCTCTTGGAAGACATGTCATTTAAGACCACGTTTCTTCACACATTTGACCAAGTCTAGTCATTTTTACCTGCAGCATGCTATAAAAAGAATGGAATTTCGTAACAAGTCTAAACAGCTATCAATGACTACACACT